CTCACTGTGTACAAACTTTCTTGCATTTGTCCTAAAGTCACCCTTAGGGTTGGGGATATAGCTCTGCGGTAGAGCATTTACCTAGGGTACACAGGGTCGGGTTTAGTCCTCAGTGACCGAAGTAACATCTTCTTTACTTTCAACTGTAGTTGGGTTGTTTTGTTTGTTTTGTATTTGTCTTTTGAGACAGAGTCTTGTTAAGTATTTCATGCTGGACTTGAACTCACTATGTAGCCCAGGCTGGCCTCGAGCTCTTGGCAACCCTCCTGCCTCATCCCCTGAGTGCTGGGTTTACAGGTGTGCACCACCCTGCCTGGCTCATACCTGTCTTGTAACTGTATCTTGGAGCTGCTGCTTCTCAACTGGTGCTTTTCTTCACAACAGTGGCTTTCACCATGACATTGCTCATTAGCTGCTGATCACTTCCTGTGAGTCCTAAACCCAAGTCCCTGCAGCAGCATGGTACCAGTTCCAAGCAGGGCTCAGCAGAGAGGACAAACTGGAGACACCTTACTCCCCTTGGGAGTCTCTTTATTTGATTTCTACCCACAGTTCTATGAATTAACCAATAAGAATTAAAATGTGAGAGGAAAAAATTCAAACATAATGCCAAGTACAACTGGGCTCACAAACCAACAGACAACTGTCCGAAAATTCAACTTCTCATAAGGTGCCCGCCTCAGTTCCTAGCAGAATTGCCCTCTGATGCGTCCTCCTTACGTAGACGTCTTCTTTTGCACAAACAGTGAAATTTTCTATCCCAACCCCACAGGGAGAGTGATGCTGACTCTCAGAGTGATCCTTCTTTAGGATTCATACCTTCTCCTCCTCCTCGGGGAAATCCTAGGACTTCAGTAACCCAATGAAAGCTTTTCTCAAAATCTCACTTCATCAGCCAAAAATTTTCACAGTGGGAGAGGAAAGTGGTAGCTGTACTAGAACAGTCCCAGGTGAGATGTGCTACTCCAGGTCCAATCCTGACAAATGAAAGAGCAAATATGTGCTCCTTCCTCCTGATGATCCAGATGGTGACTACTAAAGCACATACACAAAACACACAGACACAGATACACACACACACACACACACACACACACGCATACACACACACATACATACACACACACACACACTTTTCCACCTTTCTCACCTGTAGTGTACTTTTTATCCATGTTAAGCAAGAGAAACTGCTTGCTAAAGTAGGACCGAATAGAGATTTCTCCCTCAGTGAGTTTGGTGTTTTAGTATTATGCAAAGTTGTATCTCAGACTTTTTCATCTTTTAGCTCGTAATCCTGCTCAGAGCTCTATTGGAGCATGAGGATGAGGCCAATCGGTCTGCTTTTAAAGTACACAGCTACCAGGCCCAGCATGGCCATCCTTTGGCCACACTAAAATCCAGCTCCAAGTGTTTGAGACACCCCACTGATCAGGCCCTGCTCTTAGGCAAGGAGCCTCCACACCATCATCTGTAAGAGGAAGGGAGGTAGTATGAGAACTGCTTTCTGAGGCTTGCCCTGGGTTTAGCTAATGCGGACTTTGAGGATTTGGCCAGATGGTGAGCCTGTGCTTATTTTGATGTAGTTACTTCACAATTTTATTTGCTTTGATCTGTTTTTAGCCATCGTCTTTCTAGACTATTTTTAGAAACATAGTCTATCAGCAGGTAGCTTCTCCTCCCCTACTGCATCATTTCAGTTGTCCTTATCTATCTGCACACTGCTCCCAAATATCACCTGCAGGCTTAGGCCAACTGCCAAGATGTGCTCTGGGCCATGCTTGAGATAATAGTTCCCAAATCTTTACTACCTTTAGCTTTCTCTCATCTCTCTTATGCTTCAGGAGAGGACCCCTAATTGAAGTTTCCCAGAAATTTGAAAGTCCGTCTATACCCATTCTAACTGAAATTCTTTTTAAAATCAACCCCCCTTTTAACCTTTGCATTTTTTTTTCCTTTTTTTTTTTTTTGGTTTTTCTCCGGTACGGGGAACCGAACTCACGACCTTCCGCTTGCCAGGCAGGCGCTTTGCCGCTGAGCTAAATCTCCAGCCCCTAACCTTTGCATTTTGAAGGTGTGTGATCAGTCTTGTATGTAGCAAGCATTCACTTAACATTTTGTTTAATTTCTCTGATGGTTCAGAATAATAAATGTATTCATTCATTTAAACTTCCCATTATAATTTTATCAGATGCTTCTCTAGTCTGTGAAGAACGGGCTACAGATATACATGGAATTTTAAAGCTAAAGATGAATGCCAGAAAGATTATCCTTCCAGGTACAATGCATGAAAAGTGTACTGAGGGTACTGAAAGTTCAGATCATAACATCACCTAACCTGAGTTGGACAGATTACCTTGGAGAAGGTTAGTTGGAGAGGTAAGAGGTTCCTCTTACCCTGATTTATGAGCGGTATTACTGTGGACAGGTTATTTCCTCTCCAAGCTTCAATTTCATTACTATAAAGACAAGAACAATAGCAATATATATCTTATCTGGTTGTTTGAGGATTACACGAGATAATGCACACAGCACTGACCCATAGACAGAGCTTAGTCCATGTAAACTGTTAGTATTGTGCTAATAGGTCCTTCGTGTGAAAAACTCACTGAATATGTCAGTGATTTACAAATGTCGATAAAGGACAGTGTACATCACAATCACCTTAGTAGGTCTAGAGCATACACATGCCTGGGTCCCATCCTAGACTTGCTGGGTTGTGCTTTGTCACACTGAGGCATAAGAATTTATATTTTCTCCAGCTGCCTGGCGTGTTTGATGAGAAGCAATCTAGGTTGTTCCAGGGCCATTAGCACATGTTTTATCTGCTGCCGTTGGGCTCCTGAGCTGTTCTATGTGTGCCGCAACAGGCAAAATACTGAGTGGGCAGAGGGCCTCCACGTGGTAATGCACCAGGTATTCTCTCTGCCTCAGCATCTGCGAATTTCTTAAAGACCTTGTTAAGGTGGAGCTAGACATTGCCATGCACCTTAGCTATGTTTGCCTTAGTCTCACATTTCTCTGAATCGTTTTCCATAGTAGATTTAGTAAAAGCTACAGGGAATAGAAAGAAAAGAAAACACAGGGGTTTGAAAATCCTATCTGTTAGAGCTTCAAGGTAACAGACTCAGCGGGTAGAGGATTGAAGGGAGAATATATTTTTTTAAAAAGGCTGGTACTCAGGAAAAGGCTACACGGGTGCCAACCACCGGGAAGCTTTGATTGCTCTGCTGTTTAGCCTTTGGGGACAGCTGCTGGGGGTGGGAGGAGAATATGCAGGGGCTTTGGTCCGCCTGAATAGATATTTGTTGACAGCTAGCCAGTTTCAATTTAGTTTCAAGCCATTAAAAATTCAGTTTTACTGGCATCTCAGAAAAGCAGCAATTGTTCTATTTCCCTGGCACAACTATTTCATGAAGCAGGCTGTAGCTTGTTGTGTTTGCCCAAGCCTTAGTTAAGTCCCCAGGCAGAGGAAAATTAATGGCATTTTGAAAGCATATCCGTCTCCCGATAGAAGAAGCCCACTGAGGTGGGGGCTAGTTAGGTCCTCCCCCTCCCTCCCATATCATAAGGACACAAGCAGCTCTTGTGCTTGGCATCTTGGCGTCCTGCCCTTCGCCTGGCCCTTCTGGGGTGTCTCACTTAGTCCTCCACATGTTCCTAAACAGTCTTCCATAAATGGTGGCTCAAACTTTACATTAGGGGAGCGTAAGGAGCAGGATTCTTTGAATTCTTGCACACCCTAGCTTGGGTATTGGTGGGCTGGGCAACTCTGGGCAAGTGACTTAAATTCTGAGTCACCAGCTCTGCAATTTGCTAACCGTGTTGCAAAAAAGCTGAAAATGTGCTAGAAGGAAAACCTGCAGACAATTCTAGTACACCAGAAGGGCTCAGAAAATGGTTGTGGCTACTGCTAATGGTGCCAGTATTGCTGCCCTGGTGCTGAAGCTTGAGATAGGAAAACGCCCTCTAGGCTTCACTAAAGTGATTAAGTCCTGTGTTGTAACTGCCTCAGCAAACAAGATTTAATAGTATATCCTAGCGCAAGTATCTTAAGTAACCCCTCGTGCTTGAAAGACAGTGGACTCCTTCAAACAGATTAATTGGAGGAAGTAAACTCTGAAAGTCAGTTGTAAACAACATAATACTAAAAACCAATGTGTAAACACAAGTGACACATATGAAAGAATCTCGGGCAGAAATTCAGAAATACAAGGCAAGCAAAATTCTCAACTATATGGCTGTGCCCAAGGGAAAAAAAGATCAAGTATTTGACAAGACAGTTAACACAACAGTGCTCTGGAAACAATCTTCAGGTAAATATTGCCAGTGTGAAGTTGTGGGTTTTGGTCATATTAACATTTCTTTGGCCAATATCAGATAGAAGAAACTAATGTTTCGCCCATGTCTCTCTCTTCCTCTCCTTTCTTTCCTGTTCTTTTTTCTTTCTTTTTTTTCTTCTCTTTCTTTTTGTGGTATGGGTTATGGGGAATTGAAACTAGGTCCTTCATACCGGGCTACATCCCCTCCCTATTTAATTTTTTTTTTTTTTTGGTACTGGGAATTGAACTCAGGACCTTATGCTTGCCAGGCAGGCATTTGTGCCACTGAGCTATATCCCTGGCTTAATTTCTTTTTTTATTCTGAGGCAGGATCTTGCTACATTGACCAAGCTGGGTTTGAATTTGCAATCTTCCTGCCTCAGCCTCCCAGAGTGGTGGGATTACAGGCATGTACCACCAGGCCTGGCTTCATGTCTTTTTCTGATGCTATTCTAAAATGTACATCCTCATTTAATGCAGAGGCAGATGTTGCTTTTCTACCATTGTAGCCATGTCTACCGTAGTCCATGGCAGCAAAGGCATTTCACCACATTAAAATAATTTTCTATTCATGAATAAGTAAGATGAAACCACTGAAGTGTAGTGGAGGATTTCTTGGCCTCTTTGATAATATTCAAATCAGAGAGTACCACTGGAAATTAAAAAACATAATCCAAAATATAGTAATACAAAATTATTTATTAGTTTAAAAAAAAGACAGAATTTGTTGGTTACACAGAAAAGTAAATGGAAAATCACCTACAAAAACTGTGACTCTCAGCGTATAAGGTAGGCACTATAACTGGGCTTAAGGACTTGACATTAATGCTGACATTAGCATCAGACAATGGAAAACAGTGACATGTACACCGTGCTTGTGATATTTAGCTAACAGGTTGCATATTTTGAAGTGTCATCTAGGTGTGGTAGAAAGATAGACATGCCCACGCCGTGTTCTAAATCACGTCACTTCTATTAACTGTAGCATATGTCGCAGTTTGTTTCCCTTTTGTAGAAGTCATTGGTGGTGGCTGCTAAGGGGGCAAAGTCCACACAGTCTGTGCTGGGATAGAAGCACTCCGCTGCTCTGAGGGCCTCCCAGTGCTCTGCCTCGCAGGACGCGCAGCGGCAGACTGAGGCGGTGGCGGTGGAGAAGCAGTTGTACTGGGCGTGCGAGGGCAAGTGGTGGTAGGAGTAGTCTTCCTGGGGGTAGCCATGGTTTAGGGTGTCCAGACAGGGAGGAGAACTATAATTCTCTGAAGCATATGAAGGCGGCTGAGCTGGCGAGTAACTGTAGTCTAAGGAGCCAGAGAGAGTGGAGGAATCTGAAGGCGATCCTGGGGTCTAAAGAAATGAAAAGCAATAAAGAAAGAGCTTGATAACTTAGACAGGATCAAAAGAACTGGATAGTGTGGATGTATTAACCCTAGGTAAGAAAAGTAGGGGCGAAAAAACAGAATACCCAATCCAAGTCTAGAGAAGTAATTTTATTTGTTGACTACATGATTTCATGTCACTATACTCTATTTGCCTATTTCTTTCCCAACAATCAATTGCTTTGCTTCACTGGCTTCCTTTGTTATAACCATACTTTGGAGGATGTTTTGTTCTTAAACCACAAAATCCCATTGTGCTTTAGGTCACCTGCACATTAAATCCTGCTGTGTGCCACAATATGAGCTGCAGGTGGCACCCTGGGTATTTCTGCACACCCTTGACTGTGAAGAACTGGGTGAGTGTGCAAAGGCAGAACTTGGATCCTCAATGACGCTGCCTCTGACAGACCCACGCTGAGTGACTACCCTTCCAGCCCCTACAGTCTTGTCCCCTGGGGATCAACGTCCTGACTGTCTTCTCTCAAGCAAATCTACGGCTGTCACTGAGAAAGCCTAACTTGGAGAATGGAAGGGAACTGGATGAAGAAGACCCGTAACAATATGCATATTCTGCTGTTAATTTCCTATTCCCTTTAAATTTAGTCTCATGCCTATACAGATGTTTTATACACTAGAAAAAGTATTCACATTTCTTAAAAATTTTATAACAACACTAGAAGCTTTAAAAAATTACAAATCTCAAAAAGACATCTAAAGTCACTAGATACTTGAATAAGTAGACTTTATGGAAACCTTGCTTCCTTTTTTTTAGTCTTTTTGAGACAGGGTCTCGCTATGCAGTTCAGGCTGGCCTTGAGCTCACTTTGTAGCCCAGGCTGGTCTCAAACTTGCAACAGTCCTCCTGCCTCAGCCTTCCAAGTGCCGGGATTATAAGTGTGCGCCACTACGCCCAGCTTACTACATTTTTTAAAAATAACGTTTTTGAGCATTTGCGATCCATAAAGAACAGACAATGCATATTCTTGCAAAGATTAGAGCTTCATTTTTACTTGCCATCTCTGACCCACATGAGCTCTTGTGCCTCCAGGACACAAAAGCAACCAGTTAGTACAGCCAGTTGTGTAACTAAACCCACCCCAACTGAATTCCCCTTTCCAAATGAAGTTTGGGAGTGTGTAGATACAACCTTAGTTTCATTTTCAAGAACTCAAAAATCCAAGAGCCATTAGGTAAACCAGTCATTTCCAAATTAGGAACTGTCTTAACTGCGCAGCTTGCAACACACTGAGTATTGCCAGAAAACCTTTTTATTGCCACCCATCAACTTACTTGGGCAATTCTAATTAAGTGTGTATTCAAAGGTTTATGCCTCGCAGCAAGTGGCTGTCTCTGCACATTGCATTATCAATGGCTCCCTGGTTGTTTCCTTGATAGCATTTTTTTTTTTTTTTTTTTCCAGTAGCAAGAATCAAACTTACCTCCTTGCGCTTGCCAGGCAGGCGCTGTGCCGCTGAGCTAAATCCCCAGCGCCCCTTGTTAGCATTTGTATGACTCCTAAGGAGATGATGCAAACTTTCTTACAAAGCATTACTACTTCATAGTTAGCAACAATCAGGTTATATAAAAAACAAAGATAAATTACCAGGCTCTGGTTAAAGCAGAAAGGGTTGGCCTGGAAGCCGTCTGGCAGATAGTATGGAGCACTTTGCGCGGGGTTGAGCAAGGGCTCGGAGAGTGTTTCAGTCTGAAGGTAGGAATCAAAGATCTGATCCAGGCAGTTTGGGTTTTCTTCGCAAGAAATACAAGTGGAAAATTCTCGGGGTTGAAAATAACTGGGTGTGGAAGACATTGGTTCGGGTTCAAAATAGAGTCCTAGAGGAGAAAGAGAAAAGATTTTTAAATGGCAAAATGGGTTTGAATGGAGTTTTCTTCTATATTCTGACTATTTGGGAGGGGGGAGTGCTCACGAAGTTCCAGAAAAGTAAATAGGCAGGCCATTTGGACTGTTCAGTTGTCTTAAATTCAGCGCCCCTGAAATTAGTATGATTAATAATAAATTGAAAACAACTGGCTATCAATATGGGCTGAGCAGAAATAAAGTATGGTGGTTCAACTCATAGGTCTAAGAGTCACACTGCTAGCTCAAGTCTGCTGTAAAAGCACTAACCTCCAGTCCTTATCTGAAGTTTAAGTAAACCTCTCAGCAGTAATTGACAGATCTGTTTGAGGCTATGAAAAACCTTCCAACGCCATTGGAAAGAGTTCTCTTGATTCAGGGGCATTGCTTTCCTAACCCTTTTCACATTCAGTAACTTAAATTTTGAGGCAAGGGTTTTGAAAAGTGATGTACCCATAAATGGTACTGAAAATGATAAAGACAGAAACCAGGAATGTAGAGTACAAATTAGTATTACTTGTTTAGGGTTAGAAAAAACAAAGTGTTCTCATAGTGCAGATGTCAACATGATAATGCAATAAATTTTTTTAGATACTAAGCCAGAATAATTTGGAAAACATCACTTCTTGTCCATTTGAGTATTAATGGACTCAATGTATGATTATTCTTAAGTGCTCAAAGAAGAGAGGGGTAGAGTGTACCCATCAAAGGGGCTACGGGACATTGGATTTTTTGAAGTTTCAAGTTCCTCCAAGGTTAAGTTAAAGTGACAATTCAGTGGAAACCATCCATAAAACAGGCTTCCTTATTTATGACCTCTTTGCTGCTGAGTGTCACAGGAAGGAATGTTTATGTAATAGAGTTCTTCGTGTTGAGCTGGGAAAACTTACATTTGTTTGAACTGCTCTCTGGGAAGAGAGAAAAGACGGGGAGGGAAGCCCTTGTCGGCTGGAAGCTACAGGAACAAGAGCAAAGGCATTATTCTAGTGTTCAGGATGTTCAGTATTCCATTGAAAAGGGTAAAAGACAAAGAGGTCTTTGAAAATGTTCTAATTTTATAGTCAAGTTTAGTTACCTAGAGGTGAGAAACTAGAAAAACTATGAACAAAGTCTTGGGGCAGTCTGGACAGCAGAGAATAGACAGTTCAGTAAAGAGGACAAAAAAACTGCACTTGTTCTCTTGCTGGGCTTGCATCTGGAGCCACTCGGCCTTTTTCACTTTCTGATTGGTTGAATTCCAATTAAATGGTGGTGCCTATCTTAACCCCTGAATCAAGCACTGGAAAGCTTTCGAGATGGACTTTTGAAGGAGGGTTTGAAGGAATCACAATGCTGGCTGTACTGACCTGCAGAGGATGGTGCAACTGGGTCTGAAAGGTGGACATCGCTGCCTCCAGAGAACTGCCAAGAAAGAATATGACTATGAAGCAAAAAGAAGCTCAGAGCTCTATACAGAAGCTAAGATATTTTCATGGGAACTAAGTGTCCTTCTGCTACACGGTAAGCCAGATTCCTCCTTCTAAACAACAGGCACGTTTTAAAACATATCACCAATGTTATATTTTATTTAGATTCAATTTTTGTGTTTGCTTGCTTGGGAACTTTTTTTTTTTCTAAAATCAGATTCCTTACTTCAGTTTTAAGTTATTCATTTTGATTTAAAAAACAATGTAAATAATTTTTCTGTTTCAAAAATATAATAGCTTAAGAAAACTCAGCAGAAAACCCTTCTATTAAGCTATTAAAAAAATAAACTATTCAATTTACAAATAAAGTCTAATAGCTATTTAATCCAACTATGACTTAGTCAATCATTACCCTAAAAAATTTCCTACACAATCTGGTTTCTTAGTCTACAGAATTCATGTCTCCTAAAGAATACAATTCCTAACTTTTTAAACCAGATTGGCTAAAAATTTTCACATGCTTTTACTATCAATGAACTATTAAAATAGACATTTTCTTAAAGCTGTAGTCAGTGAGTTGGAGCATATTAAAAAATTCTAGCCCATTGTTAAGAAATATTTCAACTCTTTGTATGCTTTTTACTATTTTCTATAAATTTGCTTTTTTCATTTCAGGACTTAAAGTTTATAAGACTGCTCTTAACTATTTAAAGTAAAGCAGCCTATAATTTCCAATGGAATGATAACTATTCTAATTTTTTTTTTTTTTTTTTAAGATTTCAGGCCTTGGCTTTAAAGTTTAAAGGGACTAGCATAGCTCTGGGGTTGTGGGCTGGGAAGCCAGGCCTCTCTTGGGTTCCAGGGGATACTCACTCCTGGACACCGAGCTACTGGGAGAACTGCACAACCAGCCATTGCTGAAACAGGAGGTGGTGTTAATTTTGAAAATAATCCATGCTGTAATGTCATGAACCAGGAAACTGGAATCCTTTACTAGCTCTTTATGCAAATATTTGGCTGCAGCTCCAGCTGAAGGACTTGGAAGGAGTGGGTTTTAAAAATCTGCTTCATTGTAGAGCTCTTTAACCCCCTACTTCCCCGGACTGGCCTGTTTGCCCGTGTCCTTGTTATCCTGTTGTTATCTCCCCGAGGTATGTTTACAATATCCTACTTGATATTATCTTTCTAGTCATGGGTTCCCTTTCTACTTCACTCCAATACAAAGAAAGGCACCTCTCTTAGATTTCAAACAGCATAAAGAAACCGCAATCTACAATTTAGAAAAACACATCAAGGCTGTTTAAAAAACTAATGGTGGAAAAAAAAGAAAAGTAAATTATATTCTTTAGATAAGTACTAACTGAACTTTCTCTTTACCTTACAGGCAGAGGAAATGCATGTGCATGGGTGGTTCAGTGTGTTTGTAAATTGATCTGGCTGAAATGAGCATTTTAAAAATTAAATTTACTGGTTTCTTCTAGGGCAACCAGAAACTTGGATATTTGTCTCAATCGACAGCCTCTACCAAGGATTGTCTTCTTAGAATTCCAAACCAGGGATACTGCTCTGGCTTTATAAGGAGAGAAAATTTCTTCTTGCTTTGTAATATTTGATACAATTAATTATCTCCTTGATTTAAAGTTTGCCAGGAATGTCCTCCAACAATCAAATTGGAGATAATCTGTTAAACTAGAAAGGTCTACACCAAAGAGTAGGCATAAATTATCCTCTGGGAGCTGCCTTCCTTGCCTACTGAGTATACTTTTTTGGTGTATCTAGAATCCTAGGTCCTTCCCACGGCTCCTGGTGATGGATTTTACATGTGGCTGTCCTGCTGCAACTGTAAGTGCAGTACTTCTGGAGGGAATCGGATGGAATCTTTCAGGAGGTAAAGCAATATTCCTGCAAAGCTCTGGCTCAGGAGTCCTGCTTTATTTCTCATGGTTGGGGTGCGGGGAGGAGGTTCAAAAAAAGATGTGACCCTGGTCTAAAGGAGAGAAACTGGTCAGATACGCAAGTGGAAAGCTTTAGATCCTGCAGTTTGCTAGCAGGGAAACGACGGTAAAACCAATCTGTAAGGATCCAAGGGCAATGAACTTCTCTAGGTATAGGTGAAACAGAATTCTAACAAGACTGAAGCTCTTTAATGAATGATTATATTTTGTAATGAACATCTTGATTTTATTTTGGCTCCAGAATCATTTTCCAGATCCCTCTAGATCTAATTTTATTAATAGTGTAACCATCTCTAAATGGAAGGAGGTGAGGCTACCAGAGTCCTGGTTAGTGCGGATCTGCAGGAAGATGAATTTTGAGTCAACAATGAGAAGACTTTTATACTTACCTCCCCCTGGTTGTCAAAAGAGTTAATCATTAAAAAGTGTTCTACGAATGTAAGGAAAGTTCATTGTTACCTGAAAATCTGCAGCAGGAGATACTAACTTCTCCATCCGTATGTACCAAATCACAGCTAACTCACTCCTTAACTTTAAACTCTGAGCAAAGACTGTACTGTGTGTATCTGGCTTTTAATCCTTGATTGCAGTTGTATTTTAGTTGCCTTTCCCACACAGTAATAGCATTTACTGAGCACTCATCACATGGAAAGTGCTCTTTAGAATGCTTTACATACAATAGTTATTGTAACCCTTAATATTATCTCCAATTTAAAGAGGAGGGGAAATAGGGAGGAAAGTTGAGTGAGTTACTGTTCATCACCGAGGAGGTGAGGTCTGAACCCCATTCATCTGGCGTCTTACCACTCTACGTGATGTGTAGAGTGACGTCACGAGGTCCACTGCCAAAGCACTGTATACAAACAGCACCCAACACAGAGACTGTTGTGGGGCAGATACCCCAGGGTAAAGAAGACCCAATCCCATCAGGCCCTCACTGTGAGATACAGCCTCCACACTCACGAGGCTCTCTCAGTAAGAAGCTGCCCTCTCCTCGGGGATAACCTCACTTCCTTTATTTGGTTTGGTTGCTGTTGCCCTCCTTGAGCCCTGGTGGCATACTTATCTGCTTTAGGGAGGTATATAAAGAGGCAGGTGCTTATGACTGCCCAGATCAATTTCATAATAAGCTGGAACGACTTTAGGCTTTATGACACCTTAAGAAAGTGGTTCTATGTGTGCCCCAGAGACATGGGCCTTTTCTGCTGAGGACTTTCCTTTAGTGACTGGCAACTTACAGACAAAATGATCTCAGAGGCTGAGTTCCAGAAGGATGAGGAGAGAGTGAAGGATGTTCCACAGAGATGTTAACCTGGAAGGGCTCCCCAAACTGAGGTGGATTTCTGAAAGAGATTTTCTATGAGTCTGAGGAGTGTACCTACACTGTCTTCCTAACACAGTATTAATCTACTTAGCAACTCACTGGCTCTCCCTGAGGGACACCAATAAGCCTTTCACACTCAACTTTAACCAGTAAGGGATGGGCTTCCCCAAGTCCTGAGCGCCGTGCCACGCCCCACCTGTTCTCTGTGGGACCCCGTGAGATGGGAGGACGCGGGGCACAGAAGTTTGTGTAACCGCTGAGGAAGGCTGGGTCTCCAGCGGCCCACACCTTCCCGGGCACAGGGCTGAAGGAGGCCTACGGTGGGCTGGGGAGGGAGGGAGGGGTTCATGCTTACGGTTCCCCCTGAGGCTGCCTGGTGTGCCCTCCTCTGTTGCAGCAGCTCCTTCACTGTGATCTTTACCCGGACACCTTGATACACCTTCGGTTTTTCTGGGGAAAGGAAACTGAGTCAATGCTCAAGTCCAAGGTTTGGGTGTCTGGCTGTGGAGCAAGGGTATCCTCTGCAGGCGATAGCACCCAAACCCAAGTTTCTAGATTTGGAGAACACAAAGTGAATGAAAACAAAAAAGGAGGCTGAGTAGTTTTCAGGGCTGCAGGGGGATGGAACACAGGTTAGCACACAGGTTGTGCTGCTCAAGAATGCGGAGGCTCATCCGGGGGAACCCACCACCTCGGCTAGGTGAAGCTGAGGGAGTGTTGGACTCTGGGGGACCCACGGGGCACTCTGCTTCATAGCAGTGGACCTAGCCCACCCCACCGTGATGTGATGGTCAGTGTGCAGTTGTCAGTCCCTTCTCCCCCTGGCTTCTGGAGGCGACGACCCCTACGTGCCCTTGGTCTGGAAGCCAGCCCAGGGCAAGCCGCGGGGTTGGCCTGCCCGGTCTCCAGCCCTTGAAGAAGCGGCCAGGCCCAGGGGACCCCCTCCTCGCCTCCCTCCCATCGCTCTCTTCTTTCCGCCGTCTCTCCCCTTCTCGTCCCTTTCCTCCTCCTCCCTCCCGCGTTCCTGCGCTCCCCTCCATCCCCTCTCCCACCACCCCTCCCTTCTGCGGCAGGCGTTTCTCCACTGCGCGGCGCGGGCTCGGACGGGGAAAGCCTCCAAGGATCCCCGGGCCGTGCCATCGCGGGCAGGCCGCCTCCGGAAGGGGCCGCCCCTGAGCTGGCGGGGCTGGCCGCCCTGG